CTATATTTATGACTCAAACTCAATTATGATTCATTTCAAAGCCTATCTCATTGTATTATCTTAATAAGGATTTTATACTTATGCAATAAAATAGTTACTACAGCTTAACTTTTTTTGCATTCTAATCCTCGATTTAGTCAACACAACTTTTTTTCTCTACACAACAAAGTATAAACACATTATCTAAAATGCTACAAAGTTACCAAAAAATTCAAAACAGAAAATTTATTGTACTGATTGTATAATCATAGCCAAAAAGAAGCAATGTTCACGTTGTCAAGGTAACCCCAAAGACCACCGTGAAGGGGAAGAATGTCGGTGATGACCATGCAGAGCTCTCAGTTTGCTCACCAATTTCATAGAAAAAGGAAATGTGCCATGTGGATATACATTCATGAGTACATGTGAAATCAGAACCATTTACAACAACTAATATGGGAAGTTTAACTCTGAAGGTCAGAAGAACTCAAGCAGGGGAGCACCACCAGGTTAATAGCAGCTGCACGAAAGCATGCCCTTTCTTGGAGGATCCCCAGGCTACTAGACTGCCCCTAGCTCATCTATGGAATGGGAAAATGTGCTCCCAGGCTCGGGTGGCACTGCCATCTGGAAACCTGCTCTGTTCCTGCTCTGTTAAACTGACTCTCAGAGACTAGAAACGTGGGAACTTTCTATTCAGGAAACTGGAGAGCATCTTCATAGGCACAACCGCAAATGAACAACACTTCTGCAGCCAAACTTGGCCTTCAGAGGAAATGTCTCAATGCTCCTTTGGAAGACTGCTCCTGACTGAGGATTTGTTTCCTACTGACTTTCCTTCAGCTAGAAAAGTGACAGAATTGAGTTGGATGGGATATAAGTTTTGGGATAGAGCTTCAGTGGCTTGCTTATCAGGAGGAATTGGAGCTGGAGTGACTTCTGTGGCTGCAGCTGCCAAGGGAGCAGGATCACCGAGGCACCATGGACCTGAGCCTCCGAGAGCATGACCTTCTCCTTATCCGTGGGGGTGTCTGACACCATGTGGGAGGTGATGGTAGCATTCTCCTGAGAGGGCTGAATCGCTTGGGGGGAGGGGTGGCCTAGGCCGAGGGTACCACACAGCAGTGGTGTGATTTCCTGGCCATCAATTTTTCCTCCATCCATGTGTTTCAGCGCCCTTTCAGATTTATCTGGATTTTCAAATTCCACGTATGCACAGCCTTTACATAGATGGGATTGCATCCTTTCTACAGGAATGTCAGTCATTTTAATTTTCTCAAAGTTGGAGAATATCTCCATGATGTAAACCTTGATCACATTCCTGGTGAGCCTACCAAGGTGTACTTTGGTGGGTTTAGGGGAAGGGCTCCACCTTTACTTTACTTTTCATTTCTTTTGGGTGATTTGGATTTGGAGTGGGTATGCTGCCTATTGTTATGTCTACACCGAGAAGGACTTCAAGAGCCAGAAGAGAAGCTAGAACTGGCGTTTCTGGATGTGCTGAAACTTTCTGAGCGGCTTGATGCTGATGAAGAGGTAGAGCCACTGCTTGAGCCAGTGCTAGTACTGGAGCCAAAGCTGGAGGTAGAGCTGGACCGAGACCTGGTGCTGCTGCTACCAATGGAAGTGCTGCTCTTCTGAGTTTATCCCTGCCACAATCCTTCTTGCTTGACTCCTTGGTGGCCCTTTTATCTTTAGAGCAATCCTTAGACTTCTCATTAGAGTGGTCTTTGTGTTTGGTAGAAGGAGCCCTAGTGCTAGACTTTTTATTATTTTCTTTGACTCCTAGCAAGCTCTTCTTTTCACTCCTGATAAATCCATTCTCCCCTTCTGAGGTGTACAAAGCAGCAATGACGATCTCACTTACCTGAACTCTCACTTCTAACTTGAGTCAGAGAAACGATACTAATTGATTGCAATTTCCGCCAAAGTGCAGTATCTTCTTACCAACGTGCTTCCTTCTGCTCTCCTCAGCTGCAGAGTTCCATACCGCTCAGTAGTCAGAGTTAAGGAGCAGGGACATTACTATCACTTATTGACCAACTAATTTGTACAAGATTTTTACATACATTATTCTCATTTAATTATTAAAATGCTATGAATTTGGTACTATTATTATAGCTATTTTTATATGAGGAAAAAGAGTTCCAGAAAAGTGAAATAACTTGCCCAAAGTGAGACACCTGTTGGCAATTGTCTTGTAATTTAAATTGGGGCCTTTCTGGCTGCAATACCTGTCCTTTCAGCCATTGATAGAGCTACATAAAATCCATTCTATATCGATAATACTAATGTGTAGTTATGATTTGTATCCCAATTTGACAGATAAGGGACTGAGGCTTAGAAGAGTTAAATAACTCATCAAAGGTCACACATAGAGTGACAAAGTGGCAGAGAAAGGGCATTAGAGGGTGCTGGTGGAGCAGGAATAGGAAAGACTGACTTTGCAGACTATGAAGTATAGCTCAGCCTGAATCTGATTCATGAGAAGTAATCTCTCATTTCCTTAGATGTTCTCCCTGCCAAGGTCTTATAATACAAGGTAGGGTTGGCTGTTATAGGTAGCCCACTGGCTAGAGGGAAAAATGATTCTCTCTAGGCCCAAGCATTTTCCAACAGAGAATAAAACAATTTCAATTTTAAAAAATCAAAGGTACCTTTTGCCTCTTCATCATGTTGCTCAATTCAGAACAGAATAAACAACAAATTATAAAGTAAACAGATCCAATACTATTAATGTTTGCAAGCAAAAGCCAGATTTTGGCCCAAGAAAATAATTCTTATTTCTCTGTCACTGAAATTAAGGAATCTATAAATTTAATTATAATAAATCTAAAGCAGATACCAAATAATCATTTTTACTAAAACAAGGCTATTAGATTTTTAACATCTAATAAATCTCATAAGTCATGTCTACAAGATAAAGGAAAAAAATGAAGCAATTATCTGAGTAACTGAACTAAAATTATTAAGGCAATTCTTTCATTTTCCCTTTATTTTTACATATATAGACAGTTGAAACATTCAGATGCAAAATGGGTAGTGTAAGTAGTTTAATCTTCAAATGCAAGCATATTTGAATCCAAACTTGGGCTCTGCCAATCATTAGTGAAACTTTTTTGAGGCATTATAGTTCACTGATCTATAAAATGAGACTATTAAAATCTACCACATGGATTACTGTGAAAAGTAAACCTGATAATGTATGGCAAGTGGCCACCACATAAAATAATAAATGGGAATAATTACTGTTGTTACAGCAAATAGTATTAGCACTAGAGGCATAATTAATCGGGTATAGTAAAGTCAGTTGGCTAAAGTTCAACAATTCCAGTTCTGATTGTTCACAGACATCTGCAACCTCAACCTTTGTCTTTCTAAAATACTCCTAGCTCAGAATGTCTCAACCTCAGCATTGTTGAGGGGAAAGGAGAGTGTTGTCATTTATACTGTAGAGTACATAGCACCATCCCCAGTCTATCCTACTAGATGCCTGCAGCACTCCCTTTATAGTGACAATAAACATGTCTCTAGACATTGCCAAAGAGCCCAATGACCATGTCTGTAGAGTCTTCTTGTGACCTATAGCTCCCCTAAACTGCTCTTTTTCTCTTCAGCAACCTTTTAGACAGACATTTTCTTGAAATAAAATGGCCTCCTATTTGTTAATTATATCACACAATTAAATCTTATCTTCAAAATAAAATTTCAAGTTTCTTGATGTCAGGAAATTGTTTTTCTATTGTATTCTTAGAAGATTTTGCTATACAACAGACAAAGTGGAGCCCAGTAAAAATATATTTGTTTGCTTATTTTTTCATCCATTTACTCAAGAAGAATTTGTTAAGTGCTTTTACACTTAGTGGCCAAATTATTATGATCTCTGAATGCATAATAATCTGGCAACTCAGTGTGTGTGTGTGTATATATATGTATGTATGTCATTTTATACATGAATTCATGCATGGGTGAGGTCCGGTAGCCTGGCCAGGGGTTGGCTGGCCTCCCTGCTGGTCGAACTCCTCGTTAAGGGGACAATTTGCATATTAGCCTTTTATAAATAGGATATACACTGAGTGGCCAGATTATTATGCATTCAGATATCATAATAATCTGGCCACTAAGTGTATATGTACCAGATACTTTATTAGAGCTGTACATAAAGAAAAGAAGACACAATCCTTGTGTTTGAAGAACTCATAGTCTAAGGGAAGGAAGGTGACAGATTAGTATAATGTGATATTTTTTTGTCATAAAGGCATCATAGAAGAAGGGTACTTATTGACTGGGAGAGACAAAGAAGACTTTCCTAAGGAGGAAACACTTGAGTTGAGTTTTGAAGGATAAGTAGTAACTAGATGAGGGCATTGATTGCAGAAAACTAGTAGTTTGTTAAATACTCTTATAATTTTAATGAATATATTTCATAGGCTTTTGACTCTTTAAGCAGAGAATGTTTTTTAAAGCTCTTTCACCCAAGCAAGCCAACTGGGAGAGTGTTTTTGCAAAATTGTAGTGACTGTGTATACACAAGCATGTACACACTAATGACACTGTGAAAAGGAGGCTGGGCTATCAGCATTTGCTGGCCTCTCTTTATATAGAAGTGCTCCTAAATTAAGGGAAAATGATATATTATTGTGGCTTCCAATTTTGATGGATTCTGTGGGGTTTTAATAGACTTACTTATCATGAATGGTCAATTGGGAGCCTTTGGGGTATGATCATAGAATATATCATCAGACTGTTTTCTTCCTTTTGGGAGTGTAATCTTAAAATAAAACTTACTACTTAATTTATTTTTGTTAAGTTTTCAGCTTAATGTTTCAAGTGAACATATTTAGTTTCTATCCGATTAGGAGTATGAGAAAGAGAGTGATCTAAAATACACAGTGAGTCACAAACTTTTCATTTGTGACTTCAGGGAGTCTGGAGTTCATACAAGTAAATAAAGAATCAATTCCAATTCTATTTAAAGATAAACCATTCCATGAAAAAAGTAATTATGGTAAAAGACTCACTCAGCTTCTCTAGGATCTCCTCATCTGTCATCTTGGATTTTTTCCTTTGTCGATCTGTGTTTCTATACAAAGTACTGGAATTGGCATTCTCAGTAGAAGACGGTGTGACCTCTTTACTTGGTGCTGCTGGTGAAGCAATGGATTCAACCACAGAACGAGTGTATATCTTAAAGGTAAGAAAAATAAATGTTCTACAATTAAAACAGCAGCCAAGGAAAGAATATGAAGTCAAGACACTGTCATATCAGTGAGGTTTTTTTTGTTGTTGTTGTTTTTTGTTTTTTTTTTAATAAAGATAAATTTTCAAGGAGTTTTAGGTTTCGCAGCAAAATTTAGGGGAAGGTACAGAGAATTCCCATGTGCCCCCTGCCCCCACACATGAATAACTTCACCCATTATCAACATCTCCTTACCTTATTGGTGCATTTGTTACAATTGATGAACCTACAATTACATCATACTCACCCAAAGTCCATAATTTATATACAGTTTACTCTGGGTGTAGTACACTCTTTGGGTTTGGATAAATGCATAATAAAATTTATCTATCTTTATGGTATTATGCAAAGTATTTTTACTGTCCTAAAAATTCTCTGTGTTCTGTCTACTCACCCCTCCTCCTACCCTGCACCCTAACCTTCAATGAGTTTTATAAAAGAAACGATTTATGTATAAAAAAACACACTTTATGTTGCTTCAAATATGCTGCTCTTGAAAGCTCTGAGGAACTAGTCCTTTGTTATCCCCATTATAAGCTGTTCTAATTCTGGTACTAGAGCCTCTGCTCATGCAAGTATTCCTATTTGATTCACATGAATTTTCTTCTCTATCTTAACCTCTGGAGCAGTTTTATAACTTAGCATTTATTTGTATACTAGAGAACTGGTACATTACATTTGTGCACTGTGTGTGTGTATTGAGGGCGGGGGGGTCACTCAGCCCAGCCTGCACCCTCTTGCAGTCCAAAACCCCTTGGGGGATCTGGCCTAAACTGGCAGTCAGACTCCCTCTCACAGAACAGGGCTCTTCCCTTGCTCCTTACTGCCTGCCTGCAGCAGAGGTGTGAGAGGCTACTGCTGCCACCACTGTGCTGGCAAGCCATGAGCCTGGCTTCTGGCTGAGCGGCACTCCCCTTGTGGGAGTGCACTGACCATAAGGGAGCAATTCTTGCTTTGAGTGTCTACCCCCTGGTGGTCAGTGTGGGTCATAGCAATGGGTCATTCCACCATTCGGCCTATTTGCATATTAGGGTTTTATTATATAGGGTTGTTTGGTATTGTTCCCTAACTAAAGGCCTAGTGCATGAATAAGTGCACCAGTCGGGTCCCTCAGTCTTGCTTGTGGGATCGAGTCAAAATATCCCCCGAGGGGTCCCGGATTATGAGAGGGTGCAGGCCAGGCTGAGAGACCTTACCAGTGCATTATCGGGACTGGGGAGTGATGCAGGAGGTTGGCCAGCCAGCGAGGGACCACAAGAGGGCTTTAGGGCCTGTCCAACCCGTCTTGCCCAGTCCTGATCAGTCAGACCCCAGCAGCAAGCTAACTTACTAGTCGGAGCATCTGCCCCCTGGTGGTCAGTGCACATCATAGTGAGCAGTTGAGCAGCCTTAGCATATCATTAGCATATTACACTTTGATTGGTTGAACAGACAACTGGACACTTAGCATATTAGGCTTTTATTATATAGGATTGTCAAGTGCTAATCTTGTATCCCGAGTTTTGGAATATAGTAAAATGATCAATAGGTACTAGTTGATTAACTAAACTCTTATTATATGACTGTTCCAAATGACATCTTTTGAATCATTTGGAAATAGTCTCTTCTTACTTACTGATTTTGTATGCTCAGGTCTTGGTGCTATAACTGGTGGGGGTTCATTGTCATCTTCTTCTTCCTCTTCTTCATCTTCTTCTTCAGAGACAGGAGGAGCCAAAGGAGGCTCTGATGCTGTTTTTGTACTCTTATGACAAAAACAAAGTTAAAAGACTAGGTATTAACTCCTCATTGCTTCCCTTCAGAAATGATACAAGGGAAATGAAATATTTAACCATGTAGAGTTAGGAGGGAACGACACATTTACAAAGGAGCAGAACCATCTAAAATTTGGTGTCCAGGACTTGCCCACATCTAGACATACATTCAGATCATGATTTAAACAAACTAAATTTTTAAAAAAATATTCTTATTTTCCACTGAGCCAAAAAAGTGACCTATTCATTTATTATTTTAAAGTTCCATTTTTTGTAAAATCAATGAGTATATTTTAAAAATCAAATGAATTACTATTAAAGCTTTGAATTTGTTCTGAGCAGATTGTCAATTTATTGATTGACAGGCTGTTAACCAGAAAAAGGTTGTTTAGTGCTTATAGATTAGAGCATGTGTATGGATATCATATTAAGACAGCTCTGCAAATACTAAGTATAAACAAGCCCATGAATGTTTTTTTTCCCTTTTATGCCTCCCAAAATGAAACACTCAAAAAGTAACAGAAATAAAGATGTAAGGAATATCCATCTTCATAAATAATTATTCAATTTTAACCAACAGGTAAATGGTGACTTGTAATGCTAAAAATGCAATAATACCAGCATAAAAACAACATCTAGGGTCAGTTCTTGATCATTTACGTCAATACATGGGTAAAATGGTACTAAAGCTGGATTTTGAAACAACTATGGTCATGGTTCTAAAATTGTAGTTCCCAGATCAACATCATTAGCATTATCAAGGAACTTATTAGAAATTCAAATTCTCAGGTTCAGTCCAGATCCATAAAAAACTCTGGAAGTAAGGCCTTGCAATCTTTGTTATAATAAGCTTTCCAGATGATCTTAATACAGGTACAAATGTAAAAACCAGTGAACTATGATATAGATATGTGTGTCCAATATGGCAGCCACTAATGATACCTGGTTATTGAACACTTATAACTGATAAGTCTAAATTGAGAAAAGTTGTAACTCTAAAGTGCATACCAGATATTAAATATGCAAAATGAGAAATTGATATTTTCTTATATTTTTTATAGAGTATATACATTGACATGACTATATTTTGAATATATTGGGTTAAGTAAAATATTTTATTAAAAATAATTTCACCTACCTTGGCTGGGTGGCTCAGTTGGTTGGAGCATTGACCCTTACACCAAAAGGCTGTGAGTTCAATTCCTGGTCATGGTATATACCTAGGTTGTGAGTTCGATCCCTGGGAGGCAACCAATCAATGTTCCTCCCTCTCTCTCCCTTTTTCTCTCTCTAAAAATCAATAAAACATATCCTCGGGTGAGGATTAAAAATAATAAAAAATAATTTCACCTATTTTGTCTTATGTTTTTAAATATGTCTACTGGGAAATTTGAAGTTACATATATGGCTTTTATTAAATTTCTGTTGGAAAGCACTATTATAGATGTTTTTTATCCTTTGTTTTGTTTGTGTATGTGTGTGTGTGTGTGTGTGTATATATATATATATATATATATATATATATGCACATATATATTTATGTATTTGTTCTTTGTTTATTCCTTGAATTATACTAGCTTAGGCTAATCTTAAAAATAATTTTCATTTCTTGAGGACAAATCTCCAAGTTCAGATAAAGGCTACTGGTAGATTTACATTAAAACAAAACAAAACAAAACAAAACTTAGTCTATGATTACAAGTTCAGTGTGGATTTTCTGCAACCATGTATAAACCTGTGATGGAATAATAAGTATAATCATATATTTGATTGGAGCCAGAAAGGTTTATCTCTTGAGAGAAGGCAGACACCTTAAAGTTTATAAACAAGTACTTGAAAGAATATTTGATTGCCTGACATACATACTGAGTGGTTTATAGTTTGAGGTGTATATGCTTACTTGATATTGGTTTTCTTATTTATACACCTATATTTATTTATTTATTTTTTTTGTCTAGCAAATCAGGAAATTATTTATTTACTAGAGGCCTGGTACATGAATTTGTGTACCAGTGGGGTCCCTAGGCCTAGCCAGTGGGATCAGGCCTAAACTGGCTTTCTGACATCCCCCAACTGGTTCCAGATTGCAGGAAGGTACAGGGCAGGCCAAGGGACCTTGCCAGTGCATGATTGGGCTGGGGAAGGACTTAGTAGGTTGGTCAGGGAGAGACTGTGGTAGGGCTCCAGGGCATGTCTGGCCCATCATGCTCAAACCTGATCAGCCAGACTCCAGCAGGAAGCTAACCTACCAGTTGGAGTGTCTGCCCCCTGGTGGTCAGTGAATGTCATAGCGAACAGTTGCATGGCCTTAGCATATCATTAGCATGTTATGATTTGATTGGTTGAATGGACGATCAGACAATTAGCATATTAGGCTTTTATTATATAGGATTGTGGCTGTATGAAAAACAATAAATGGATAATGACATTAAGTTGCCAGATTTAAAAAATCAGCTTCTTCTTGTGAAAAGATAAATCTTCAAAGCACTTAAGTGGGCTCAAGGAGAAATTGCTTTAGGGTATTGGTATTTGCTTTTATATTCTTTTGTTTCAGAAATATCTGTTTTATCTTATGCCAGGTGAGATTAAGAATGCAACTAATCACTGATCCTTGGTAGAAGGGAAGAACCTGCAAATAAACTGAACATACTTTATATGGCAAACAATGCTATTTTATCTATTAGGCAATATGAACATGTACAAGGATAATAAGCCATATTTGGGCCTGGAAAAATGTTTTAAGTGGGAAATAAATCATTAACTCAAAAATACCACAAGGAAACTATAAATTAATTGATTTCTAATTAAATTTATATTAAGTATAACTACACTACAGGCCTGGTGCATGAAATTCATGCCCGGGGGTGTGTCCCTCAGTCCAGCCTGCACTCTTTCCAATCTGGGACCCATCAAGGGATATCCTACTGCCCATTTAGGCCCAATTTTACAATACAGGACTGCTGGCTGCCACTTGCTTGCCTGTCTGCCTTCCTGATTGCCCTTAATTGCTTCTGCCTGCCAGCCTGATCAACCCCTAACCACTCCCCTGGCAGCTTCATTGATGATACACTGCTCCCCTGCCAGCCTGTTTGCCCCTAACTGCCTTCCCTGCAGGCCTGGTCACTGCTAATTGCCCTCACCTGCAGTCCTTGTTCCCCCCAACTGCTCTTCCCTGCAGTTTTGGTCCCTCCCAACTGCCCTTCCCTGCTGGCCATTTTGTGGCGGCTATCTTGTGTTCACATGGGGGCAACCATCTTGTGTGTTGTAGAGGTGGTCATTTACATATTACTCTTTTTATTATATAGGATTACTTTACTAATCACTATTAATAGTATAATACAAATATAAAATTTAAAAAGCAGCCTCAAATTGAAGAGCAGTCCCCGGAACAGTTTTTAGCATTTAATATAATAATATGAAAGAAGCTAGCAGACTGAGCAGTAAAAAAGATGTTATATGATTATGGGAGGGATAAATGAATTCAATATAAATTATATATCCAGTATTAAAAAACATTTAATGATTACAACAGTGCTTCTATTTTAATTTACATCAAGGCTACTAGAGGATGCCAAAACTTCTGATCACTTCAGGCTATGTCTATTAAGGGTTGTCAATCCCATTAAATCCGATACTATAGGATAGCAATGTGTAATGGGAGTGTTTCTAATGCAAAATAATAATCATAATAATATCAATAATAATAATAAAATAAGAAGTGCAAAGTGCAGTCTCCACTTAGAATAATAACACAAGGTCCAATTATCCATTCCTAAGTAACTGAGTCCCACAGAAATGATCCAACCTGAACTTAAGGGTCTAATTCAGTCAATAAAAATACAGCCTTAGTCAAGCGTCAAGCAGTTTAATCAAATATGTCCATCTGAAATCCTGCCAGCCTTTCAAACTCAAACTGTCCAAGAGGAAACTCAGCATTTTCTCTCAGAAATTTGCAACTCCTGTAAGATGACACCCTATTTCTGGACAACCACATATCATTTTTAAGCCTGCAATCACCTTTGACCTCAACTTCTTCTCCATCATCTAATCATTAATCTAACCATCTTGGAAATTTTAATTTAATCTCCATTCCTACTGCCACTATCTCACTTAGGACCTCAATACCTCTGCCCTGGGGACTTGCAACACTCCCCCAACTGGTCTCCTTTCATCCAGTCTCACCTTCTGTCCTTAATTCATTCTGAACATTTGATGTCAGACTACTCTTATCAAGGCATAAGCTTTAATCATTTAACATTCTTGTACTAAAAAACTTCGACCTTTCCACTATACACTGAAAAAAGCCATATCTCAAAGAATACCATTTAAGGGTGTCTATGATTTGGCTCCAAGTTAACTTTCAAGGCTTATTTCCTACTAGAGACCCAGTGCACAAATTCATGCATGGGTTGGGTTCAGGCTGGTAATCAAGACTGATTGGGGCCATTGCACCCAGTCCCCATTGGGGCCATGAGAGGTTAGCTGTCCATGGAAGGTTGGCTGTGGGAGTGTACTGACCACCAGGAGGCAGCTCCTGCATTGAGAATCTGCTCCCTGATGGTCAGTGCGCATCATAGCAACTGGTCAACTGGTTGTTCTGGTTGTTTGGTCATTTGGTCACTTAGACTTTTATATATATAGCCTAGAGACCTAGTGCATGAAATCTGTGCACTGGGGGGTGAACCTCAGCCCAGCCTGCACCTTCTCCAATCTGGTACCCCTCAAGGTATCAGGCCTAAACTGGCAATCGGACATCCCTCTCGCAATCTGGGACTTCTGGCTCCCAACCACTCACTTGCCTGCCTGCCTGATCACCCCCTAACCACTCCCCTGCAAGCCTGAATGATGGCTAACTGCTCCCCTACTGGCCCAGTTGCCCCCCCAACTGCCCTCTCCTGCAGGTCTGGTTCCCCCAACTGTCCTCCCCTGCCGGCCTAATCACACCTAACTGCCCTCCCCTGCTGGCCTGCCCCCCCCCCCATCTGCCCTCCCCTGCCATCCCAATCAACCCCAACTGCCCTCTCCTGCTAGTCTAATCACCCACAACTGCCCTCTCCTGCTGGGCTGTTCACCTCCAACTGCCCTCCTCTGCCAGCAATGTTGTGGCAATGACCAGTGAGAGTACTAGGGCTATATTCTGTTGCATTTTGGAGAATTTGAATAAGGCACAAGTACCATTGCCTCACACAAATCTTATGTATAAAGAGAAGAACTTTTTCCTCTTGTTACCATCTAAAAAATAATAGTAATAGTAGCTTACAATTAATAAACACATAGTGCGTGCTAGGTAATATACTAAGAATGTTATATGTATCATCACATTAAATATTAACAAAAGTTTTAGGAGGTAGGTTATACCCAGTTAAAGCTGAAAAAAGAAGCTCAGAGAAGCTAAGCCATTTTCCCAAAGTTTTCAGCTTTTAAGAGGAGGAATAAGACTAAATACCTTTGTCCAAGGCCTTAATTCTTTTTTTGAATTATATTTTTAATTGCAGTAAAACATATATAACAAAATTTAACATCTTAACCATTTAAATATATATTTCAGTAGTGTCAAATTTATTCACATTGCTGTGCAACCATCGCCACCATACATCTCTAGAACACTTTTTATCTTGTAACATTAAAATTCTGTACCCATTAATAATAATTCCCAATTTCTACTTCTCCTAGAAACCTTCTATCTGTATGATTTTGAATACTTTAGGTAATTCATGTAAGTAGAATCATACAGTATGTGTCTAAATTATACTTCTAAAAACCATTTTAAAAGATTCTATATCTTAAAAACTACATGTGCTCAATTGTGTTCTATTTGACTACCAGAAACATTGATTACACAAAACTGTTTTAAATTGTTCACTTACCGAAGAATGAGCTGCTATGTATCCATGAGCACTTTTATCTGAAAAGTGAAGATAAAGCTGTCACCTTTGTTTCATAAAAACTGTCTTATTTAAAGGCAATACTTAAAAAAATAATAATAACTTCATGTGTTTGACCAGAAGGGAATTCTCCAACTCATTATTAAATAGATATTATGAAAATGATATTTTTCTTATAATTTACACCCTCACATCCCCAACGTATTATCACATTATGTTATAGACATTTGATGAAGGCCTCTAGTGATTCTCATATATATGGAGAAATGTTAATTACCTACTCCTGGATTGCAATGATTCCATACAGTAGTCCCCCCAAAGTGGGGGATATATTCAAGTCTGAAACATGAGATAATACCAAATCTTGAGCATGCATGTGCACGTGTGTGCACACACACACACACACACACACACACACACAGAAAGAGAGAGAGAGAGAGAGCGCGAGTGATCAGGTCCTAGAATAACATTACTTCATTCAACATTACTTTCTAGTAATGTTTATGTGATGCTGTAGTAATTTAACTCTTGTTTATATCAATTAGGCTATGGTAAAATTTATTTCATCATATATTATTTGGACATAGTTCTAAGAAACTATGGAAGACATTAATTGAGGAATTATGGAATCCAGTTTTTCTGTTCATGTCATCTACTCACAAATTTAATGTCTTTTCAATTTTAACTAAGAACCTATCACACACTGTGGCTATAATTATTGCAGAAAACTAGCATAGATTTTTTTCTTCACAGTTAAGAATAGAAGATTCATTCTTCCCATAGATCTTAGCAACTTCAGCATATATTTGTTTTCTTTCCTTATTAAGTGACAACTTTAACCTTTTCAGTTAAATAAAGCACTTTATGGATTTTCTTTGGAATATCTGAATTGCAAGCATTACTACTCTTGTGCTTCTTTTTAATTTAATGAATCTTTATTGTTCACATTACAATTGTTCTCTCCCCCCACCCCCAATAGCGCCCCTTCCCCTGGTTCCCCCCTCACCCTCAGACTTACCTCCCCCACTGTCCCCATCCATAGATGTACAATTTTTCTCCAGTCTCTTCCCGCATCCCCACACCCCTTTCCACCTGAAAATTTTCAGTCCATTCCATTTCTATGCCCCTGATTCTATTACATTTACCAGTTTATTCTGTTCAGATTTTTAATTCACTTGATTTTTAGATTCACTTTTTGATAGATATGTATTTGTTGTTCATAATTATTATCTTTACCTTTTTCTTCTTCTTCCTCTTCTTAAAGAATACCCTTTAGCATTTCATATAATACTGGTTTGGTGGTGATGAACTCCTTTAGCTTTATATTATCTGTGAAGCTCTTTATCTGACCTTCAATTCTAAATGATAACTTTGCTGGGTAGAGTAATCTTGGTTGTAGGTTCTTGCTATTCATCACTTTGAATAAGTCTTGCTACTCCTGTCTGGCCTGCATATTTTCTGTTGAGAAATCAGCTGACAATCATATGGGTGCTCCCTTGAGGGTAATTAACTGTTTTTCTCTTGCTGCTTTTAATATTCTCTTTGTCTTTTGCTCTTGGCATTTTAATTATGATGTGTCTTGGTGTGGTCTCTTTGGATTCCTCTTGTTTGGGGTTCTGTGAGCTTCCTGGACTTGTAAGTCTATTTATTTCACCAGGCTGGAGAAGTATTCTATCATTATTTCTTAAACTAGGTTTTCAGTATCTTGCTCTCTCTCTTCTTCTGGCACCCTCATTATTCTGATGTTAGCACACTTGAAGTTGTCCCAGAGGATTCTTACACTATCTTCAAATTTTTGGATTCTTTTTGCTTTTCTGTTCTAGTGTTTTTTGCTTCTTTGTATTTCAAAACTTTGACTTGATTCTTGCATTCTTCTAGTCTGCTATTGGGTCTCTGTATAATTTTTTTTTTCAGTCAGTGTATATTTAATTTATAGATGGCCCTTTATCATATTCTCGAGAGTCTGCCTAAATTTATCTGCCTTTTCTAGGAAATCTTGAAAAACTTTGTAACGAGGTATTGAACTCTATATCCAATTGTTTGTTTTCCTCCAGTTCTTTTGTTTGTGATCTGTTCCTTTGTCTCCACATTTTTGCTGTTCCCCTGAGTTGGTAGGGTAGCTTTTGTGCTTGGTGTCCTATATGGACCAATGGGTCGGCCTTTCTAGTTACCTGAGGTGGACACTCTTGGTGCAACCCTTTGTGGACTGTGTATACAGCCTTTTTGTAGTTAAGTCTTGATTGTTGTTGGTATGACTGGGGGGAATTGACATCCAGGCCAATTGGCTGTGAGGATCAGCTGTGTCTATGCTGGGAGAACTTCTGTGCTGGCAGTCCTCTCTTCGTGCACTCATGCACATGCATCTCCAGACCTCTGCTTTTACAGCTCCCCTGAGTTTCCACCTGACAGTCCAGATTACCCCCCATATAAGCCTGGGTCCCCAGGTTCTCGCCTGGAACTGGGGTTCATTGCAGCAGGATCTTTTGTCTCCTTCCTGCTAGAGAAAGCCAGCCAAGTACTCAGGCATCCGCATGCGTGTCTCTGTACCTCAGCCTTTTGCAGCTCTTCTGATTCTCCATGTGCTTTCCTCTCTCCTTCTAGTTGTAGAATTCCCACTCAGCTAGCTTTCGTTGGTTCTGAATGATGTTCATTTTGTCTTTTATTTTTTATTTTTTTAAAATATATTTTATTGATTTTTGTACAGAGAGGAAGGGAGAGAAATAGAGAGTTAGAAACATCGATGAGAGATAGACATCGATCAGCTGCCTCTTGCACATCCCTACTGGGGATATGCCCGCAACCAAAGTACATGCCCTTGATCGGAATCGAACACGGGATTTTTCAGTCCCCAAGCTGACGCTCTATCCATTGAGCCAAACTGATCTTGGCTCATTTTGTCTTTTAGTTGTAGTTTTGAAATTGTTGTGAGAGGCAGCAATTTAAGTGTTTACCTATGCCACCATCTTGGTTTCTCTCCTTGGTGATTTCTACTCTTGTGCTTTGTTTGAGGAGATTATTAAGTAAAATAAAGGTTACTTAAGCACAAGCACTACAATACCCCAACAGATGATCTGGTAACCTAAGATGGTTACTAAGTGACTAATAGGTGGAGATTGTGTGCAGCATAGACACACTGAACAAAGAATGATTCATGTTCCAGGTGGGATGAAACAGCACAACTCAACATTTCATTTCATTACTTAGAATAGCACAACATTTAAGCTTTATTTTTTTTTTTTAATTTTCCATTTAATATTTTTGTACCATGGTTGACAATGGATAACTAAAACTACAAAAAGCAAAATCATGGATAAGGAAAGACTACTGTACATATATATCTAAAATTTTTACAACCCTTCCTCCTTCTCTTTATCTTCTACTCCCTTTCCCTTCCTCCCTTCTATCCTTACTGCCACTCCCCTACTCCTCCTTTCCCTCCTTATTTTATTAGTCAGTTGTGACATTAGAGCATCCAGAAAACATATGGTGGCATTTCACTCAATGCAATAATGCAATAACTCAGATACTATTGAGTTTCAACATAACCTTTAGGATTGATTCTTTGTAAATTGAGAGAATTCAACACAAAAATAAAAGGGTTATAAAACAATGGCAACATGAAATAATTACAAATTTTGAGAATCTGAAAAGTATTAATGGGTACACTGAAATGACTTCTTGAACGAATTTTTGGTTTTCATAGCCTATGGTTCTACAGTGTACTCAGAGCATAGCTCTAGATTTCTGGTTCTACAGTGTACTCAGAGCATAGCTCTAGATTTCTTCATATTAAGCATTTTTTGATGTGTCACCAGGATCGTTTAAATATTTTATTCCATGTTATAGGCTAAATATCATAAAAAGTTCTCCTTGATGGCTCTTTTCTTCTTTTAAGTTTTTGCCATTGGATAACAGAAGTTCATCTTCTCATTAAAAAGAATCCTATTGAGCATGAAAATTGCCATATGCCTGTAAGTTTGGTCTTTGATATTTGACATGACCAAATCAGAAACCCAGTATATTTTTGTACCATTTTTGAAGAAATCAAGCTTGCCCTGGAAATGGAGAGCATTATACTATGCGGAATAAGCCAGTCAGCGAAAGATAAATATCACATGATCTCACTAATTTGTGGAATATAATGAACAATATAAACTGATGAACAAAAACAGATCCAGATACAGAGAAGCATTGATCAAACTGTCAAACCTCAGAAGGAAAGTAGGGAAGGGTGGGGGTAAGGGAGAAAGATAAACCAAAGAACTTGTATGCATGCATGTAAGCCTAACCAATGAACACTGACACTAGGGGGTCGAAGGCATGAGTGAGGGGATGGGGAGAATAGGGGGATAAGGACATGTATGTATTAACTTAATAAAGGGGAAAAAAACAATGCCAGAAGATATGGGTTATTTATAAGTGGGCCATTAATGATAGTATTCTCTTCTTTCTTTGGATGTTATATAACAAATCGCTCTTTAGAAGCAACCCAGATGATATTTCTTAAAATACAGAAGTATCATTTGGTATATGTACTGTAGTTGCTTATAGTGCAAATTTGAACATCAAAACTTAAAACAAAGGCCAGGTCTACAAGCTAGCAAATGAAGTCAAAATTTGTCAGACTCATATCCTTTCAATCTCTTAGAATAGCAAACCATTATTTCTTCTTTAAACGTCTGATTTAAAAGTCTGATAAAAATAACCTGGCAGACACAACATTTGTACTGCATTATCATGGTTCAATTAGATGATTCTAAATCAAAAAAACAAAAACAAAAAATCAAGAAACCATGGTTTGATCCATACATTTCTTACTTCATGAACACATCACAAGGATCATGAATAACTGAGTTTCATGCCAGTAAAGAAACCAAATAATAATTGTGATTGCTGATTCAAACTGACAATTACTGCTTCACTGAACAACTTCCTTATTTCAGTTCTAAAATTATCCAAGCACTGTAAATCTATTGACATCAACTTCAACTTCCAACTCATCATTTGGTTTACTTTTTTGGAAGTTATTCAGAGAAGGAACTAGAACTGACTTCAAATACCATACAGGTATTCTCTTCTAATTGTGAGGCTCTGAGAATATAATTTATTTTTTTAACATCCTAGATTTACTCTTACCTCCTGATGTAAAGCTCATGTATTTCTGGTTATTGACTGTTTCCTTGGAATCATAGAATTTGAGAACATCTAAAACTGCTTGTGGGTTCTTCTTCTGTTCCAGTTTTGTTATGTTGGAGGTTTGGAGTAATCTTGCCCATTGCTCAGGAATTCCCTGTTGACAACCAAAGGCAAAGAATGGCATATCAGAACATTCAGCAGTTACATTTTTCTGGTCCAGTAAAGTTCTTCACCAAGAAGCCCATGCTACCTGTAGAATTTCACTTGGAAAACTGAAGTTACACTCTAGATTTAAAGTTAGTAACTTAATAATGCAATCATTCTCTTCTCTAAATAAAACACATAGTTAAAACTAGGATCCAACGTAAAAAGGGTGGGTGGGAGTATGACTGTGATAGAAAAAAAAAAAGTGCATGAAAATCACCTCCATATTAATTCTGCTCATCCATGAAATGATGTTTACAGCTTAGCTTATTTTTTCTGGTGACTCAGGGCAGACATAGCAAGACTTCTCTAAATTTGTGCACAGCATAGTAATGTGCAGATCAATAAATTTTATTTTACTCTGAAATACATAAGCTGCTTCTGGGCATGTTGTAATTAGAATAGCTTTTGGAATAAAAAGGAAACCCCACCCTTGGTCAATTCATACTTTTTAATCATAAAATATAATTTAGAAGGACTAGATCTTAAATAGAAAGGGTGATTAAGAAGTAACAACAACACAATTGTGGGGGACCAATAACCATTGAGATACTAAAGAGTAACATTAATGCTGCTTTGGGCATTTTTCCCTGCAGCTTTATTGGCTCCTCCCTTCATTCCCTCCTTCCCACTCCATTCACTGGCCATATAGAAGAACCTGGGGACTGTGACAACCATGCCAAAGCCTTGTGAGAATTTGAAATAATCAGAAGCATTTAGAGCAGAGAGGAAGGAGTATTTGGATATCTAAACATGGAGAATTGCAAAAATTACATAGAGAGGTTAGTTTTGCATTAGACAATCAGTATTCTTTCCTAGTTGCTCAGCCTACAGATGTCCCCATTTCATGATTATTCAACGTCCAATAGAAATTTTGAGTGAAAAACAGATACACTACTCCTGAAGTGCATTTAGATACAATTTAGGTGGTTTTGTCCTATGAAGTCTCGGCAAAACAATGTGTGACGTGGGCCTCCAGAGTTTGGGAATGACAACAAAAAAGTGAGATAAGCCAAGCAACAACTCTACTGCACACACATGAACCTGCTGCTGCAGTGCTATGACATCTCAAAGAAGCACTTTGATGCAAGCTTCTTTTGGGCCTGTGACGCACCTCTGGGAGCTTCCCTGGGCACATCTGTGAGCCATAGAGATCTGGCTGTAATGGACGTAAATAAAGAAAGAAAAGAAAGTTAAAACAGAATGTGGGACAACTTAGAAGGTGGGAGGAGATGAAACCAATGGGTCTGAATGGGGTGGGGGTTATCCCATCTAAAGTGGTTATAAAAATAGGGAGGTATTACCTAATCAGGGGCAGGACAGAGTATAGTACGACGTATTAAAAAAAGAAAAGAAAACAGAGAAAACAATATTCCAAAGTTTGGATGCATAATTTCACTTTTGGCAAGATGCTTCCTTCATAAATACACACTAATAAGAATTATAATTAAATGACTGAAGAAGTTACTAAAAGGGAGAAACATGAATTTGGAAGGAAGAAGGATAGTATTATGAACAGTTTCAATAATAATTTGTAAGTTGTTTTTGTAACTGGTGATCCATCACAGGTAGCCAATGGCCATGAGATGAACTTATAAATTTAAGTTTCTAATTCTAATTAATCATTTTCAGTTTCACATTGGAAGTGTGTATGTGACAAAAATTCAAAGTATGGCTATAGGTGATGTTAAATTTAACATTTATTTTCATTGATGTGATTATTCTGTATTTTGTAGCTAAAATTATGGCTGGGTTAGAGAAAACTAAATGGAGGATTTCCTACACAGACAGATTCTGTATTTGAATTTCTTAGACATTTAGGCCAGGGAAAGGGAAAACATTTCATTTCAAACCTTACAGGAATAATTTCCATTTTAATTCTACAGTTCTGAAGTGCTGCTTTCTACAAAATCAGATCAGATATAAGGTAGCAACTTTTTCAAAATAAAGATATGTACAATGTTACAGAAACATGCTTTGACTCAACTGTTTAATTTGGGATATGGTTTGATTTCTAGCAATTGGGGTTACTACAAGCACAGTGAAACAACATTTTTACATGCATGCATCACGCAATTTGATGCTAAAGCCTTAAGCCAAAAATTTGAACTCAGGAGCCCATGCATGATCCCAGTTCTGATTCTAAGTGCAATTAATAGCGTTCAGTTAATACTGTGATGGCCAAAGGAATTATTAAGTGTTACAAAACCAGGTATGCATTGCACATAATCACTACATGGTCGTTAACATAATCATTCAAATATTTGCAGTTATTATACATTCTCACAGCACTTCTAAACTTTTGTGATAAATGAATAGTCTTGTGATCACTAGACCACAGGGGGAAAAATACTATCTACTGCAGAAGATCCTTCAGATAACTTACCACATGAGTGCACTCATGACATCATTTTTATTTTATTTTCTAAGTTGAAATAAACCAGTTAATCAATGAAACCTGACACTCAAATTTGAATGTATGCCATAAAGGCACATAATCAGAAAGCCATATCATTACTCCAAACTGAGGAACAAATCCCAAAAGTTAGACAGCTAATGGAAACCTGGATGTGAGAGCATCAGAAGCAGAAGCATGTATAAATGCCTGGCCATATATACAATAACAACTAGATGTATATCAAGCTGGGGATTGGCTAGTATAGCCCAGGAGAATGGCAGCATGATACAACAGGCCAAGCATCTATCTTATCATAAGAAATTATAATTTATGTCACTCATACCATTTTTCCCTCTGATTGACTTGAAGCGACCGTCACAGGTCTAGAGGTCTGGAAGGGGGAGTTCTGAAGTATAATATTTGGGACAAAAATGGCAATATAAAGGGTAAGGATTTGTCATAATTCAATACCCCAAATCTCACCTCCCAACTTGATTTTAATATCAGGGTCCAAGTATATCAAAAGGTGTACACAGTTATAGGGGCCAATTACCCATAGGTTAATCACCAAGCAACACACCAAATCAGTGTCCAAATATTCAAAATAACAATACCTTGTAAGAGAGCTGGACTATATTGCTCAAAATTCAATGTGAACAACTGCAGTAATCAAATTAGCTATGCACACAATGAATTAGTAGTACTGTGGAATTAGGACCCAATTTTAATTCCTGCCAATGAAATAATTAAAAAAAATGGTTGAGTGAGAGATGGATTTTTTGTTCCACTTTATGTATTCATTGGTTGATTCTTATATGTACCCTTAGGGGGGATGTAGCTCTCAACCTTGATGTACAGGGATGATGCTCTAACCAACTGAGTTACCTGACCAGGGCCCAATACACTTTAAAAAAAAAGTTTATTGTCATTTTGTATTTTAGTTAGTAAATTTAAATAATAGGTTAAGGTGGTAAAAAAAAAAGATGCAGAATTTGGCATCTTTAAAAATAATATGTGGACAAGTAGTTGTAAATAATATGTGGACAAGATGACAATAAAATGTATCAGATTTCCAAATTTAGCTTGTGTCATCAATATATTCAAATGGATTTCTAACAAATGACTGCATCCAAACAACTTCTTTATTTAAAATTGGTTTTTTTGGGAGGAAGAGACAGGTTTTTGTTTGGTTTGGTTCAGTTGCATCAAAGCGTATTTTACAATTAAAAAGATTGTCCACAACATGTCCCATTCTATCCCTCTATGGTTGTTCTTTGGGTTCCAAATAATGGAAAAGTGAAATTGGCTGACTACAGTCAGCAAGATAATAATGATTCACTTTCCTTCATTTCCATTGAGAACCCATAAAGAAACAAGAAATTGCTAAATATAGATTGTATAAGATTTCAAGCAAGTTGGAAAAAATTAGGGGGGAAAAATGGAAAGGAAACAGAATGCCAAATGAGAATAGTGGAGGAGGAAACTTATACATCAGAAAATGAAAAGGAAGAAAAATATAAAATGACAGTAAAATATAAGAGAAATTTAAGCACAGGGAATGCACATTGAACATGAAAAGGTCAGAAACTGGAAAAATAAAGTTCATCAAATAAAAAAATGAAGAGATATCAGACAAAACTTATAAAGTTTAAGTGTTTTACTGTTACATATGTAATAAAATAGTCATTCTATGACTTTTAAAAAATAATCTTAACTTGCTCAGATTATAAAAAATATTATTTGGTGGTGGTGATGATGGTAGTCATAGTGGTGACAATGTTATATTTCCCAGGTATAGCTGAGAGAATATTATCACATATAGTAGAGAACAGAATCTGGGCTCAAACACAATGCCATTTGAATAATGTCTCTGACTCCCGTGGTAAAATTGGTTAAATCCTACCAGTATCTCAAATTTGTCCATGTCAGTATTTTTTAATGTTCTCTTCTTCTTGCTACTGAGAACATAGAAATAACTAGCTCACATCATTAAGTCCAAGATGTTTACCCAATGTCCATTTCATTCTCATATTACTTACTTCCAGAATAGAAAAAAAATAGTATAATTTGGCTATCAATCAAATATATGGTCTGCTTCTCCAAATTAACTTGTCATCTCTTCTTTTCTTTCATTTAATCACACAATAGTCTACTCATTAACCATCATGTTATATAATAGGAGATTCAATTATTTAATTTGTAAATTTATCTCTCGCTTAAGAACCCATGAATCAACTGTATGATTCTATCAGAGATGTTTTGTTTGAATGCATTGAAAATTACTAATCTCAGAGTGCACATTGTGACTGAGTTCCTTACTAGTGTGGAAAAGATAGTTGATCTTCCTGGGGACATATTTCTAGCCACATCTTTTCCTTCTTCAATCTAAAAAAATATGGCAGATCTTAACTATAAAATGCCATTGATCTAAGATCCTGTGCTATTTTGAGCACTATATCTATGTGGGTTTTTCTAGAGAATTCTTATTGCTATTTATTACTGTGTATATATAACCACCAAAGCATACATAATATGTATATCCATCAATATTCCTTCCTGAACCATGGAATTTATTTTTAATGTCTATAAAATATACTTGTTAAGCCTAATAATAAGCCATGTTCTTGAAATCAAAAGTAAAAGCAGGTCAATTTTACAGGGTTGCTTGTTTGTTGTTAGTGTATATGGTTAGCTGATCTGGTTAATCGAGATTCCAACATAAAGCCTGAATTATTCAGAAAGATTTTTTTCACTGTCCAAGTTGAGTTGATGATTCTCTGATTAACTTCAAATCATGAAGAACAGGCATAATCAAGCAGGGTCTAACCTCTTCTAGGCAATGGTAAATTAGTATTTTCAATCAAGTTGAAGACTATACTGCCATGAAACATTTTTGTTAAGGTGGACAAAATTATTTTGCCAATATTTTTTCATCAAAAACTTCAAGTGTGACATTTTGGCATATGGAAATTCTTGATTTATTATAAAATCCTATTATAATAAAAGATTTTTTCATGGGTTACAAAACAAAATAAGCTTACTTACAGTGAATTCCCCAGTGACTGCATCAAACCCCACATGAATGGTATGTTCAAAGTCTGAAGGAAGAGAGATCTCTGGGCGTTCTTTCTCTTTCTTCTTATTGGCTAAAGGCAAAATGTTAACATGCATTTATTTGGGATATAGTTTTGGATCCACAAGTTGTACAATTAGATTAATCTAAAACAGTTAAAAATTTGAAAGATAGTTGCTTTAAACACAATTTTAATAACACTTAATCACAGAAATTATTTTATTTGCAGAAGTGGCTGGCAGTTGGACAAAATTTATGTTCAAATAATTTATAAATTTCCAAACAAAATCTGCACTCAGTCTAATGATGTAGCCACCAGGTATCTACAATAGATTATTGTGTTTAACTGGCTTTGTTGAATCAAATACTACAATACTTACTAAAGAAGAAATACATTACACTCAAGTCAAGCTAAGGCTTACTATTAGAAGAAAAAGATTAGAAAAGGAAATTGCTTATGCTATCTATAAAAGTGTTATGAATTGCTTCCATGTTAACCATAATTAATTATAAAGTAGCTAGAACATCTTCATTTACATGTTTACATTATCAAGCATGTCTTAAACTCTTGATCTTCTTTCAAAAAGAATAATATTGCAAATCAATAATATTACAAATATTTCTTTATCATTTGAAATGTTTTAATCATTTCCTACCTAGAACTTTGTTAGTAAAAACAAATTACTGCTTTTTACTGAGTTAATTTTATTTAGTTCTTAGAAACCTCAAACCAGTCCCTTAGTTTAGTCACTCTATTTTATTTATTTAGTTAGTTATTTAGTTATTTTATTTTGGTTTAGTCATTTTAGTTTGCAGTTATTTTCCATGTCCCTGTTATATTCTGTCACATTATCCATTCAAAATCATTGTCCTCAAGTAGTAATTTTTTTTATAATGACAATTATGAACATGCAATCAATATAAAAGTCAAATGCCTTTAAAAATACAATCACTGAAGAAATTAGAGAATTATAATGAAGTAAGTCCATCTTGAAATTAACCTCAAAGAAAGTTAGTGTGAAAATATTGTAAAATGGCATCTAGTAGCTTCTATAATAGACATATCAACAGATTTGAACATGTTTCTCTGGTAAGGCTGCAATTCACCCTCAAAAAATAATACTCAGACTCTTCCTAATAATGGGCAAGTCAGTATGAATACATATGCTCAATTAAAACCAATCAACTTCAGAACTGCAAGGGTGGTCAATTTAGAACATTCTGGTTCAAATAGATGTTTCCTTGGCCTGAACTTTCAAACATGAATTACTAGTTTTGTGGGCTACCTAGTATAATTTTAAATTAAATTAAAAGTCTTTTACTTTTGAATGTCATTTTTATGGCTTCTTTTCTCTTTCTGCACTCTGACTGGTCCATATCTCCAGTCAGAGGACATAGATATGGGGCAGAAATATGTAAATTCAAGTACTGAAAGGATTAGGATACTAATATTAGGATTTGGAGCTCGAGGAACAAGGGTCACTTGCCTGACCATGGAACACATTTAGGATCCATTTTGAAAAGTACATATGTACTATCTAACTTAGCTTCAGTATAGATCTGAATATTACAGTGAGATTATTTTATTTTTTAAATATGATGTTATTGATTTTAGAGAGAGAGGAAAAGAGAGGGAGAGAGAGAAAGATCAATGTAAGAGAAACTAATCAGCTGCCTCCTGCATGTCCCCTCCTGGGGATCAAGCCAGAAACCAGGGAATGTGCCCTATCTTGAACCTAACTGGTGATCTCTCAGAGCATATGACAATGCTCAATCAACGGAGTCATACCTGCCTGGGCAGTGAGCCTACTTTATTGATGAATATTATCTTAAAAGAATCATGAAGATTAGAGATTTCTGTTGGTACTGTTATCTCCTTGAATGTTTGTGGACTATAGCTGCCATTTATACTTATTCAACTACCATTTTTATTATCCAGAAAGGAAAAAATACAACAACCAACTTTCTGTTCTTGCCACTTCCTTGTAGGTGTCCTGGCTACTCATGTATTCAATTTCCTTATTTTTATTTTTGCTGATCTTCCATTCATGTTGAACATGGCTAACCATCTCTCTTTATACTTCCTTGATAATGTGCTTTCAGTCTCCTCCTCCTTCAGTGACAATTCTTTATGTGATAGGTATTGCTTCTTCTTCTGCCTTAGTGAACACTTTGGCCTTTTACAACCCTTTCTTTACATTTATTTCTCTTGGATAGCATCTACTTCTACATATTAAGTTATATTGCATAATTCCTTAATCTATGGATGGAAGGGGATACATCCAACTTTTGTGGAACCAGATACTTTATATAATTTAAAAGGAGATGGAAGATGGTGACCAGCAGGAAGTTAGGGAGGGAGAGAGTGTGAGAAAGTGAGAGAGCAATAGAGGAGTGTATGGTGTGTATGTGTATGAGCTAGGGACAGTTAGATTATGCAGGTCTTTGAAGGAGCTGCCAAACAGGGCAGTCTTAGATGGTGGAGCCCCACACACAACGTGTACACTTCTGAGTGGCCAGTGGGAGCACAGAGACCATGGAATCTTAAGAAATAGGGCTGATTGAGACTAGGATCCTGGCCTCAGCACCACCCAGTCTGGTCTCAGATGCAAAGCAGGTCCCTGCAGTCACAAGGGACAAAGACCTGTGACCACAATTGCAGACCAACAGACAATAAGAATCCAGATATCCCAGCCACAGATTTCTGTGAGTCATGGAGCCTATCCCCCTCCCTCCTTGCAGGCTCCTGGGCAACACCATAGTAACTGATAGACCTGCCCCTACACAGGCCACAGTGCCACTATAGGATTTGAGCCTGCATGCCCACGGACACTGGGAATCTGCTCCCCACAACGTAATCCTGTGACCAAACCCGAAACCCACACAGAGTGACAGTGCCATCTGACTCTGATTCTTGGTGATCACACAAGGAAGACTGTTTTCGTCAGCGCAGGAGAAGACCTCAGGCCGACACAGTGCTATTGTGCAACCCAGTCCCCCAAGCTGACCAGAACCCAGTTTCTCTAGGCGGGAGGCAGCATTGAGCACTACTGACTTGATTCTGTTTCTTATCACATGCACCTTGGATCCCTGACTCCTAGTGCACTCCCACTAAGCCAGTATCTCCAATTCTTGGTGCATAAGCACATAGGGATCCTGATTCTCAGCAAGAGGCCACACACAGCAACAAAGACTCTGATATTCAATTCCTGGTGCAGACACAGGGCAACTCTGACTCCTAGCACGTGATAGGGGATTCTGATTTTCAGCACATGACAACAATCCAGTGCAGACGGGGTCCCTGATTCTAGGTACACACACAAGACCACACTGAGTGCTGGTAACACTGACCCTGGGTGAGACTGGTTCCCACCAACCCATGGTAGCCACACATTTTAGTGTCAGAGCACTTCAGTGACACTTGGGTGGTGTGAAGCTCCCACTGCAACCCGAAGTTTGAATGTTCTGGAGATAGTCAGAATAGGGAGATGACACAATCCCAGAGGGAAAAAAAATGAGGCGTCACCAAGAAAGGAAATTAGTGAAATTGAAGTATGCAATGTGACTGAAAAAGAATTCAGAAGAAGGAAATGGAATGAAATATGCAAAGTCATGCAAAGGAAGGATATGAATCCTAGAATACTGTACTCAGCAAGGCTATCAAAATGGAAGGTGAAATCAGGGGTTTCACAGACAAAAAAGGACTAAGGGAATTTATTACCACAAAAACAGCAATGCAAGTAATGTTAAAGATCTGTTATAAAACAAACAAACAAAAAACAAACAAACAAACAAAAAAACACACCAAAGGTGGAACACAGAGGTAAAGGATAAAAATGAGCCAAAACTGGTTTGGCTCAGTGGTAGAGCATCAGTCTGCGGACTGAAGGGTCCCAGGTTCGATTCCAGTCAAGGGCTTGTACATTCCAGTCAAGGGCATGTACATTTGTTGAGGGCACATCCCCGGTGGGGGGTGTGCAGGAGGCAGCTGGTTGATGTTTCTCTCTCATTGACGTTTCTGGCTCTCTATCTCTCTCCCTTCCTCTCTGTAAAAAATCAATAATATATATATATATATATATATATATATATATATATATATATATATATATATATATTTTAAAAAAGGTCCCAGGTTCGATTCCGGTCAAGGGCATGTACCTTGGTTGTGGGCACATCCCCAGGAGGGGGCGTGCAAGAGGCAGCTGATCGATGACTCTCTCATCGATGTTTCTAACTCTCTATCTCCCTTCTTCTCTGTAAAAAATTAATATAATATATTTTAAATGATAACAAATAAGTACCTATCAATAATAACTTTAAATGTAAATGGATTAAATGCCCCCTGAAAAGACATAGGGAAATGGATTTAATAAGAAAATAAGACCCATATATCTGCTGTCTACAAGAAACCCACCTCAGAAAAAAAGAAGCACACAGACTGAGGGTGAAAGGATGGAAAAAGGTTTACCAGGCTAATGGAAATGAAAAATAAAAAGAGCTGGGGTAGCAATATTTATATCTGACAAATTAGAACCTAAAGAGAAGGACATAATAAGAGATAAGGAAGGCCACTTTATAATACTAAAGGGAGAAATACAACAAAGAAATAACTTTGGTAAACATATACGCACCCAATACAGGAGTACCCAAATACATTAAAAAAAAAAAACAAAACAAAACAAAAAAAACCTCCTGGAGGATATCAAGGAAGAGGTTGACAGCAGTAAAATCATGGTAGGGGACTTTAATACCCCACTATCACTATTTGACAAGTCCTCTAAACAAAAAATCCGCAAAGACACATCAATTCTAAATGACTCACTAGAATAAATTGAAATAATTGACATCTTCAGAACATTTCACCACAAAGCCATGGAATATACATTCTTCTCCAGTGCACATGGGACATTTTCAAAGATAGACCATATGTTGGGACATAGTCAAGTCTTTTCAAATTCAAGAAGATAGAACTCATATAAAGCATCTTCTTAGATCACTGTGGCATAAAACTGGAAGTCAACTCCAATAAAAACAATCCAAAGAAATCAAACACATTGAGACTAAATAGCA